TATCTCTTATATCTTGGTTTTCTTTATTTCTATGATGATTTTTCACTTTTCATTCTAGATTATAGTTAAAGTACTTTATTCTTCTGCCTATCACCTTTTCTTTATCTTCTTCATTTTCAAATTCAACTACTAACTAACTTTTTTGGTATTCATTCTTGTTTAAAAAAAATATATTACTTTTGCATTAATATTTCTCAGCTGTCTTAACAATAGTATTTCTTTTGTAAAGCTAGACAGTTTCTTAATTGTAGCATGAATTTTTCTTTTTTCTTTTAACTTAAACTGTTACTTCTTCATAATGTTAATCTTGCTAGATGGTGCTTCTTAATAGAAGTACCTAGATTCTTTTTACTTTCATTTCAAAATCTTGATTTACTGTGCTCTAATCTATTTCTGCTCTGGTTTTTTTATTTTTACTATATTGTATGCATATTTCATTAGGCTTTTCTATTTTTTTAACTAATTCTGCTATCTGTTTTATGAAGATATTGTTTAGAAGATCTCAAATTGTATTCTACACTTTTTCTTTTATAGGTTTCTGGGTCTTTTTTTCTTTTATACTTTTAACATTCATAGTTTTCTTTTCTTTTGGCTTCTTTAATTTTGTAATTTTTTTTCTTTACTTATATCTTTTTGGATTCCTTTTTTTATATTAACTTTTTCTTCTTTTTTGCTTTTGTGTTTTTAGTTATTTGTATTTTTTTTTTCTCTTCTATGCTACTAATACTTATATTTTTCAAATTATCAATAAAATTTAATATTTGTTATTCTAGTTTCTCATTTTTATAGTTAGTCAATTCTGATTTTGATAGAGTTAATTCAAGCTTCTTGCTAAACATCTCCTTAGCCTGTTTGAAGTTTTAGATTAGTGATCCAAATAGATTGTAAAGTATAACCAAATACTTTTGAGTATATGTATAAAATGAGTAGATTGTAGTAGATACATCATAATAAAGATGAAATTGTTTCATCTTAGTCAATATTATGATAAACTTGATAAGAGAGAGTAAGACCAAAATTAGTAATAACTTAGTTGTAATGATCAGTAAGAAGATTAGTAAGAATTTTAATAATGGATAAGAGAAGTGAGAAACAGTAAAATAAATGTTTATAAAAAACAAAGTTTATAAAATTATATACTTTACTCATATCTTGTAAGAGTAACCAAATGTTTTTGTGATTGCAGATAGTATTTTCAATAAAATTATTGAGAATATAAATAGGAATTGAAGTACTATTATTAGGAAGTGCAATATAGTTAAAAGGTAAAAAAATAAGGTTTAAAAAAAATACAGAGCTAAGTTAGTTTGTAAAAATTTTTGTATAAAGTTTGCAAGTGTGTTTAATCAGATTAATAGATTGTATAAGGTTAAGATTGCCATTAAAAGTGTTTCATTTAGGAATAGAAGAAATTTTACTATGTTTCTATTGTTTAAAAATTCTGTTTTCAAGAAGACAATAATTAAAGAGAATAGTAATGACAAAAGTGCATTAGGAACTAATGTGTTTAAGTATTTTATAATGTTATTAGGTAGTTGTAAGAGGGTTTGGAGAAGTTTTTTATTTGTAATAGGAGAGTTAAGAGAGTGATACCAAGTTGAATTAATATAAAGAAGTGGAAGGTATTATTATTTTCAGAAATTATTAAAAAGAATTTTATTAAAAGGTATAAGTGCAGTCTAATTATGAAAATAAGATTGAACATGTTGTTTAATAAATAATAGATTAGTAATAAGTTGGTTTGGCAATTTTATGTTTGAAAGATAAACAGATTGATGATAGTGATTAAGGATGCTATTAATAGCCTAAGTAGGATGTATTGTAAAAGTAACACATCTTTTGTCAGTAGTTTAATTAATTTGTTGTCAAAGTAGCAAAGAGTTTTCAAGATAATAAGCATGATAGAGTTGTTTTCAAATAGAATAAGCATGTTGAAGTTATGATTGAGTATATAATGGGTTGGAGAAGATAAGTAATTAAAGATCACATCATAACTGTTTATTAATTTAGAAGATATTTTGGTTAATATTTGAAATGTTAGAAGATTGAATAAGTATTTTAATAAGTTTAATAATATGTCTGAGTTTTTTGAAAGAGTAATGTAATAAAGTACTATAAGGTGAGTATTAATAATTGTAGCTTCATTTGTAAAAGATATTATATAAGTAGTCAGTATAGATTATAAAGCATTGAATTTTGTATCAAGTAATTCAATACTTTCATCAATAGTACTGTTGATAGAAGTTTTGTATAATAAGAGTTGTTGAGTTAAAGTATTAGCAAAGAAGTTCCAGTTTTCTATAATTATTATTTTATAATTGAATATATAATGACTAATCTCAGTATGTTTTTATAAAAATTTATTATAGGCATGTGTGAATATTCAAGTAGAGGTAAGAATCAAGTAGTCACTTGAAATAGAGGTTTTACTATTGTCAAGACTGTGAAAAAGAAGGAATTGTATATTAAATTAGTCAGTTTAGATGTAGTCAATATGACTACTACTAGTATTGTTAAACCAAGTAAAGTGTTTATTGTTGAAATAAGCTTTAATGTTATATATATTAGAATAATTAAGAAAATTGATAAGTTTATATTTGGAAAAGTAGCTATAAGTATAATCCTGTATATTTAAATTACTAAAATAATAGGATGAAGATGAAGTTAAGAGACTTGTTGGATCCAGTTGATTACTGTATTTTGGGTTTGGTTACAAATAGCTGTATTAGTAAATAAAAGATATACTAAGATAATATAGAGTTTGATATTGTTTTAAAAGAAAATATCAAGTATAATAGCCTTTTATGATTGAGTGTAAATACTATGAATGTGAAGTTTAAGATAATTATAAATTATAATAGTTGTCCTATCTATAAAAATAGAAAAGTTAGACCAGTAATAAGTAAAAAAATTGTTGTTATAAAAAAAATGATTAATTTTGTCGGAAATTTTTGTTTTAGTAATATTGGCAATAGATATGTTATTATTAAGATTATTAAGACAATAATTTTGTTGAATCAGAAAAGTGTAAAAAAGAGTTATAGTCAGTAGGAATTGAGTAATAATTGTTAGAAAAAGAGTCAGATAAAATAGGAATAGAACTAAAAGAGTTAAATCTGAGAGAGAGATTATAGAATAAAAAGGAGATAGAGTAAATAATAATATGATCAGATAACAGAAAGTTATTAGGAAAGTAAGTATGAGTTTTATAATAGGATATATTAACAAAAAATATAATACTAGATATAGTTTTGTTATTGTTATATTTGTTAATATATTGAATTAAAGTTTAAATAGTTTGACTATAACAAAAAAATAATAAATTGTAATAAAGAAGAAATTTGGTAAAGTATTTATAAAGATCATAAAAGACTAAAGATATTGAAATAATCTTTCAAAGTTGTCTTCTACAGAATTGATTATTGCATGCTTAGCTTTTACAGCTATAAAAGATACCATAGTCTGTTCTGTATATTGAGTTTAACTATCATTAACCTAGCCTTTCATATAAATAAACTTATCCACCTGTCTACTTATTTTATTTTTCTTATTAACTGCAATGGATGTATCTTTTAATAAAATAGTAGCTGCTTTAATATTGATTGTAAAAGACAAAGAACTTAAAAAAAAGATTGTAAAAAAAGTAAGTCTAGAATAAAAACTGATTAGAAGTTAAGATTATATTTTTTGATAAAAATATTTTAGTACTAAATAAGTAGTATTATCAAAATATTTAACAATTTGTAAATAGTTGGCTTTTAATTTTTTACAACATCAAAGTATATAATAAGTTGAGCTAAAAATTTGGTATTAATAATGTTTTTTGTTGGTAGATTAATAGCCTTCTCCTTGGACAGAGACTATATATTATAATTTTTAGCAGCAGTTTGGTAATAGAGAAAGAAACAGAAATAAAAATAGTAATTACAATGTTTAGAATTAGTTTTAACTTAATTTTGTTCACAAACAAAGTTTTCAGCTTGGTTAGCTAGCTTAACAAAAGCTTTGATAAAGATGGATTGATCAAGTAAAACAACATGTTCTTTATTTTTGTGAAATAATGTGGTATTTAAAATTAGATGATGAAAACTTTTATGTTAATATATCTACTAAATTATTTTTTATATTATATAGTTATAAGCATAAAATAAATATTCCAAAAGTATATAAAATAATTGCTTATTTTCAAAAATACTGTATTCTATATAGAAAAGTTTATTATTATTTTTTTATATAATTTGATATATAAAAACTTCAGTAATAAGAAAAGTATAATAATATAGTTAAGTATTTATATTATTAATCTTTAACTGAAAGATCTAGAGTTCAAATTTCAGTCTGATAAAAATTTAAAATTTTTTCTGTATTATAGTAAACTGTTTTTATTATTGGTTAAAATAAGATATTTGTTACTTATCTTATACTAATATGACTTAAAAATCATATAGCATTCATATAACAGTTATACTTTTACAAAAATAACACAAACTAGTATTGTGTAATATTTACTTGTTATTGGTTATGTCTGACATAAGCACTGCAGTTTTTCATATATATTATTTATTACTTTTAACTTTTACTTACTTTTAATTTAATTTTTTTTCTTATTAATACTTTTGCTTACAAATATTTTTGCTTTACTTTTTATTAAAAACTATAGATTTTACATAAGCTTCTTAGGTTCCAATATAAGAAGAAATTGACCAATTACAACAAACTTCACTTGTTTTAAACACTGAAAAAAATACATTCAAGTGGTTGCAAGTTGTTGAATGTTTTAATAATAATTGTAATGTTTCAAAAAAAATAGAATTAATTAACTCAAATAAAGAACTGGAAGATTATTTCTGCAACTTTATTACCTGGTTATGAAAAAGTGATAATTCTAACTATAAAGTAAAATCTATTCATAACTGTTACAGTGCTCTAAATCGATATTTAAAAGAGCATAGCATCCTTTAACCAATTAAGATTTGGGATCATTTCCTCATATTTTATGTATGCTTGATGAAAAGATTAGAGTTTTACAAGACAAAGGTTTAGGCAATCCTAAAAAATCTGATGGGTTAACTATAAATAAGATTACACAAATTCTTGATCATCCATATATGGATACTAATGACAATGAATCATTTACTCATCATGTAGTTTTCTGGTTATGTCATCTATCTGGATTGAGAGATGAAAACACATATTGACTTGCTAGAAAAGATCTTGAGTGTCATCAAGATAGTAAATTAGAGCTTGTGCTGCATAGAGAAAAAAATAATCAAGGTGGTGCATTTTATAAGAACAAATATGATAGAACTAGTTCACAATGAATTCCTATACCACTAGATTTATCCAATAACAAGTATATATCAGTTAAAGATATCCTTTTATATTTGTCTAAATAACTGTTATCTGACTCTAATTTAGTAAAGGATTCTTTGTTTTATGAAACTTATAAAAGCAAAAAAGGTATAGATCTACTTATACTTATATATATGTATGCATATTTTTATTTGAATTTGTTAATATTTTTTGTCAAAATCTGCAAAAAGGTCATTGGTTTAAAAAAATCTAATAAGTTTTGTTAAACTTAAAAAAATAATAAATAATATTGCATCCAATACAGGAATTGATCTTAGTAATGAATGTTTGATTACAAATCACTTTTGTCAATGTACTGCCATTCAGCTTTTAAAAGACAAAAGCATTTCTGAGTCTGATTTTCAATCTTTTTTTAGACATCGTTCTCGAGAAAATTTGCTGAATATTGCAAGATTAGTAATGATCAATCTATTATGAATTTAGTGATGCTTATTCTATTCTCATTTGAAGATTTGAATTTAGATAAATATAATTATAGCAATGAATATAGGGGCTTGATTGAAGAAGTAGATGAGGATGATAAATTAGGTATATTATAATTTATAGAAATTTAAAATTCAATCTTTTAAAATAGATTTTTTATTTATTTATTTATGTATACATATTTTTTTCAATTTACAGATTTAGTTAATTTATTAACTACTCAGTCTTCTAATATTAAAATTCAAAAACCCAATTACAAAACATTGAAATTCAAGAAACCCAACAATGAAATATTGAAATTCAAGAAACTCAACTACCCAACTATGAAATTCAAGAAACCCAACCACCTAATTATGAAAGTCAAAATACCCAAGTACCTAACTATAAAATTCAAAAAACACAACTATCTAGTGTAAAAAATAGATTAAGAATTCCAAGACCAAAGCTCTGTCCTAGAACCAATCCATATCTAGCATCTTTAATTATGCCACCTTTCAAACTATTATATCATTCTGATTCTTCAATAATTGCAAAATATGGTAAAAAAAAGAAAACCTTTGGCAAATATCATTAATAGTATTATAATTAATTTTTCTCTAAATATTCAGCCACAAGGTTATGACCTAAAAATCAATTTAAAAATTAGTTAGTTTTTTTAAATTATATTTTTTTTAATATTTGCAAATAAATGAATAATACTTACCTTTGTGAATTTATATGCTTTTAAATAAGTAGTTAGAATTTGTATATTTTCATATATAAAGTAATTAAAATTTGTATATTTAGTAATAAGAAAATGACCAATAATGTATATAAAAAAGTTCAGATGCACACATAGGACATGACCAATAATGTATATGAAAAAGTTCAGGTATACAAATAGGACATGACCAATAATAAGTTCTTATAGCTATATAGATTATAGGAATTAGAAAAATGAAAGTCTACTTAGAAAACTTAATAAAGTGGTAATCTGAACTTTTAATTGTATTACTATAAAGACTAAATTTATAAAATGAAGCTAAAATTTGTAAAACCAGATAAAAACAAGTCAGTTTTAAAAAAAAGAACATTATAACTAACCAGAATCTATTCTGAAGAAAAAGATTACATGTTAGAAAATATGTAAATTAAAAGTATGATTGTACATATCTTTTTAGATTATTTGTACTAAAAACTTAATAAAACTTGAATTAAATATCAAAATACTAAAAATATATTGTGAAGTAAGTAAGAAGGTTAAGATAAATTCTACAAAGACAGTAGTTTAATAGTATGTTCTAACTTAAGTATTAATTTTAATTATAATATTACCAAGTTAGCTATAAAAATAAGATACTAAAAAGGTTAGTACAACTTCAAAAGTTCTTTATATAAGTAAACTACTTTAAAGACTTGGTGACCATAATATATTTTTCCTAATATCAACTGAAATTATTAATAGATATTAAATAAAAAACTTACAAGCAAGACCCATAGATTGATAGTGTAGTGGTTAATGCTCTTAGGTCACAATCACAAGATCGCAAGTTTGAATCCTACTGGATAATAGTAACTTCACCAGAATCATGATTGGAAGATTTTCAGAGAATTTTCTATTAGAGAAAAGAACAAGATTCATATATAAGAATGCAATCTGCCAACATAGTTACAGAGTCAAAGATGATTAGAAAAAGTGAATCTGTTAACAAATGATGTTAACATTAAGAAAACTTAGCTAAAAAAGATTAAAAGAACATTAGACATTAGATATAAAGGAAGATCTGACTGGTGGGTCATGTGAAGTTAGGGAACTGTGAACTAAATAAAAAAGATAATAGGTTCTACACCATAGAGCCAGGAATCTGGAACATTATATGATGGACTTAACAGAACATGAACTATCTCCACAAATATGGTAATGAATATAAAGACTATACACTGTTAAATGATCTCTGCTAAATGATAACTCTGACCTTTAAAGAGATGTGACAAATCCTAAAGGTGTCTAAGGACCTTCAGAATAGTGAAGGAAAAAAAAAAAAAAACTTACAAGCAGTTTTCAGATATGACAGTTAGTATAGAACTTTTAGACAGACTATTTAAATTAGATAATAATTAAACTTATACAAGTGACTAGTTGTATACTCTTTTTATAGTTGCCTTCTATAGTTGTAATACTACTATTAACTAAATATACTATTAATAAAATCCTGGGTCACAAGTGCTCATCTTAATATTTTTTTAAAAAAAAACTTTATAAACAAACTTGTTTTAAGGTATTCTATATACTTAGGGCTACATATTTAAAAAAAAATCAAATTTGTAAATTTATCAATTTTATAATTTATAAAATAAAAATCATAATGTGATAAATTATCTGACTGTTTATAAAAAAGACTAATGTTTTTATGTTACTGTTTATTTTTATTAACAATTAATTTATTGACAAATTCAGTTTACTGATAGTATAAATTATCAACAGTTATTTTATTAACAAAGTAATTCTGACTATTATAATTGTTATATAGTTTCTAAAAATTAGTGACTAAAAATAAACCTTATTTAGAGTTAGGGTAAACCAATAAGGTAACTATTTATTTAAAGTAAGCAATAATTTTACATTACACTAGGTCTTGGCACTCTGATTAGTTTTTTTATTTATCAATGTATACACATAACAATTGTCTAAAAAAAATTAAATTATTATTATAACTTGAACAAATGGTTAATATTAATATTTTCTATTATAAAAGATGGTTTTTTTTTAAATTAAAATAGAGTTCCAATTCATTATCCGTTTATCCATTTATCAGGTTTACTATTGATATCCGGATCATCTGAATATCAATAATAAATGGATATCCGGATAAATTCAAATATGGATAAATAGATGACGGATTTATCCGGATTGGAGCTCTAAAATAAAATTTAGGTTAGAATAGTTAGTAAGAATTAGGTCAGGGTTAAATATAACGGGTCAAATTTAGTGTTATCGTTATACGAGGTTTTGGAGGCTTTGAATATTTTTACTTAATATAACCGACACCTGTTTCTTAGTGTAGTTTTTGATTATTGTACCTAGTTATTTATAACTACTGATACAAATTAAAAATGTCCAAACTTAGATGATTAATATATTAAATTAAAGTAACGGTAAAAAAACCCCCCAATTTATACTAATTAAAAAAAATAAAGTAATGCGACTAAAAAACTAAACAAATAGACAAAATAAACAAATTGCAGATACAGTACAATGAAATGCTAATTAAAATTTTAAATTCAAATAAAAAAGGGCAAACTAGGACCAGTAAAAAAAAACCAACGTGAATAAAAATGAAACGAATGCAAATATAAAAATTCTGTAATCTACATTATGTATATTTACAAATATACATATAATCTGTAAATAAAGAACACCTTAAAAAATATATAATTACGCTTGTAACACGGATGTAATGGTATGCCCTGAAACTATGGGTTATGAAGAGGAAATGCAATCAAACCTTTTGAATACATTACAATGGGACAAGATGTAAATAATTGTCAAATGTGCATTTAAGGAGTAAAAACCTGCGGCTTTATATTAGTTAGAACTAAATGGAGTCGTGCATTTAGGGAGCATTGCATTTAGTGGAAGCATTGCATTCGGGAGGCATTGCATTTAGGAAAGTATTGCATTAGGAAGGTAAAATACATAAGCAATCTATTAGTTGGACTTAAGTGGAGTTGTACATTTGGTGAGATTTTTCATAAATCAATGAGCTGCATTTATGTAGTAGATTTGACCGTATGAGTTATAATAAAAAAGTAAACAAAAAAAATTCAATTTAAAAACATTAATGATCACCACTATCGCTATATCATACGTATTCACCACAGAATTTAATATGTACAATACGAATTAAGAACAGTTGGAACTAAATTTAGAAATAAACTCAATGGCAAGCGTTTTTATTATGCATATGTAATCCGCAAACGCCAACTTTATCTATGCTGGTGCGATCTGTCCATCAGATGGAGTATTCACAATTGAATCCTTATTGTCTCATAAATTTTTGCAAACAAGACGTTTTTAGAAAACTTTTGTATATAAATAACTTGATTCATTTCAATGCTAATGACAAATATTCGTAATTCTAAAAAATGTTGATTTCATATAATATTCAATTTTTTATTTTTATTTTCTCTTTATTTTCATTTTATAAACTCATGTTATGCTCGGAGAATGAGCCATTTTTATATGAGCGTTCTCCTGAATATCTTATCAATAATCATTTTTTCGAGATTAGACCAACAAATGATGCTTTTTCTCTTGACATTAAGCCTATAGACTGTCCTGATGGTTATACATTAAAGCAATTGTTTTTACTTGCTAGACATGGTAATTATTGTTTCATATACGCAATAAAATTATAAATTTGATTTAAAATTTTTTTGGAATCTATTTATTAGGATCAAGATTACCGAAAATAGAACAGGTTCAATATTTTGATAAAATTGATAAAGCATTTGCAAATGCTTCTGTAGCAAAAGATTGGGTAAATATAGTACTATTGTTTTTTAATACCGTATACTATTAGAAAAATTATTTGCTTATTTTAAATAAAAACAAAAAAAAATTTTAGCCTAAAAATCCTTTCACCGTAGAACAAAATTTTCGATTAACTACAAGAGGTAAAATCGAACCTTATTTCCTAGGTCTACAATCTCTTAAAAGATACGAAAAATTTTGGAAGAATGTTGAATATGATGCTGATGTCGTTAAATTTCAGACTATTAGTTCTTTTTGGTAAATTTTTGTATATTTCTCACAAATACTCCACTTCTAAGGTTACACACTATTGCATTAAAACTTTTGGCAACTGAAGATGTGATTGTTGCGGCCGTGATTTCAAGCTAATTTTAATATGAAATATAGAATCTAGGGTGGATATAATTATTAATAAATGAGTATAAGTAATTTTTGTAGATTAATAGGTTTAGTAGAACCTCAAACCAGCTTTAGCCAATACCAGTTTCAGTTGCCACAAGATTTAATTTAAGCGGGTCTAATTTAAAGTGTTTGAAGTTGCAATTTCAAACATAACAATTTGTACAGCATATAACTTACTTTATAATTATGTTCGTTAAAACATTAAAGGATCAGCCAATCGACAATGTCTTTTTCAGAGGGATTATTTGATGGAACTGGCCCTATAGGCACTTGTAAAAATGAGCCTGTATTTATATGGTCTTTACCTCAGGTAAATATTATTAGTTCATATTAATTTTTTGTTTATTTATTATTTACTCGTAATATTTATATTATTTTATATATTTTTAGGGTCATGATTATATTTTAGAAATGTATAATGCTTGTCCACTTTGGAACCATACAATTGGAAATAACTTTACTCTTTATACAGAGCAAACTTATTCTTACGGTAATAAGACTTTAGCTCCTATAGCCGAAAGATTGACCAAAAAATACAATATCAATCCACCTCTTGATCCGAATTTAATACCATATTTATTTTATTATTGTGAGTTCTATGTCCTTCAATTTAATCGAACTGACACTTGGTGTGGATTGCTAAGTGATGATGATCTTACATTTGGCCGATATTATTGGAATATGAGAGATTATTATCAATATTCATATGGGAATCCTTTTAATGAGAAATTGGGATGTGCCTACATTACACAATTTGTAAATAGCGTTGAGGATTACTTAAACGGGAAATCTCGGATGGTAGCCGATATAAAATTTGGCCATGGATTTAATATGCAAGTTGTATTTGCTACATTGGTATGTAAAAAAAATTTTGTTATTATATTTTAGCTTTATTTATTAACTTAATTATTTATTTTATTATTAATTACTCATATATACTGTTTAATCTCAGGGTGTATTTAAAAACGATTATCCACTTACAGCAGATTTGACTCTTGAACAAATTAAAAACTTAAAATATATAGAACAAAAAGTCCTATATTGGTCTTCTACTGCATACTTTGAAATTTATACTTCTTCAGGCAAAGATACATTATTTCGACTTGTAGTTAATTCTGAACCATATATAATTCCGGGTTGTGGTGAATATTGTGAATGGAGTAAGTTTAAGGATATTTTGAGTAGTAAGATTAATTGTGATTTTGAGAAGTTATGTGCTTACCCTTAGTATATAGTTGAGAAAGCACTGGTATATATTCAAGTAGGTTATATGTGTGTTACAATATATGAGTTATTCATACATTAATTGTAAGACTATTATAAATATCAATACCTTAAAAATACTAATATACTGGTTTCAAAGTGATAAAAATATTAAAAATTAGCTTGATGCGCCATAAAATATCAGTAAAAAAAAGTAATATTCGTGGCATTAGAGATTTGCACGTTAAAATAATTATAGAGCATTTAATCGTAATAAAATGCAAGGTATTCTATCAATTTTTTCAAAAAGAAAGTTACATGATACTCACATATTTAACTGTATTGTTACTTCATATAAAGATTGTCTTATTGATAAATCGTATGCAGAGTGTGTCAGAAAAAGTTGCTGGGTCTAATATGGTCACTGTTGCGATATGGAGAGCTTGTATCAACACAGCACAATTTAGCTCAGATTAGTGTTGCGGGCGAAACCCAAAAAAGGAAATTATAACAATGCACTTGATTATTAATTATTGTCATAATTTCCTTTTTTGGGTTTCGCCCGCAACGCTAGCTCAGATCGTAAACATTTATTTGTGAGATTTTATTACAATGCATTGAGCGATTAGAAAGTACTATACAATCGTGGGAAAGAGATATAGAAAGGTACCGGGCACAAAGTGAACTAACTAAAAAAATCTTCTCTCCATTAACGTTCAATGACCCTTTTTACCGTATTGTCTCGAAATAGCGCCCGGAGGTATAGGTTAAAACATTGGCCCGAATTAAGCTTAATTTAGGCTATAGTTGTTGGTAGAATTACTGAATTACGGCATTACGGCATTTTACCACGTGGTAGAATTAATTACGGCATGGTATCTAATTGCCGTAAAACTTTTGTGCCGTAATGCCGCAATGCCGTAATGCCGTAATGCCGTAATGCCGTAATATCCTAAAGAGATTGAATTTGTATAAATTTAAATGTGTTGGATTATAATTCACGTCATTTCTAATTAACAAAGTCATTGCTAGCAATAGATAATTATGTAGTTCAGGTATTTTAATTATTCTACTTAATCTGTTCTTCCTTAACAAAGGTTTTTTGGTAAATATATGTCTATTATATTAAAATTCTTCGTATTGTTAAGATAATTGGGGTTCACATCATGTAATGTTTAGACTACCCTATATAAACAATTTTTTAAATTGTGTGACATATTTGCTATGAAGATATTTGTGTAATATTAACCATGAGAATCTGCAATCTAATGTGTTACATGGTTTTGTGAAGAGAAATGTTTATAAAGTCATAGGATAGCATTGAATCACAGATCAAAAAGCAAAGATGACTATTATGTTGCTCAATATATGTATAGTATTTACAATTAGATTTCATAATTTAGTTTTTTATATCAGAAACAGAGTAATGAATCACAAAGTATATGGTTTATATGGTAAGTTAAGTGGGTTTATTCACAAAATCTTAAGTTTGATTGGTTCATATGATTTATTTATCAAATTTTGGTTATTTTTTACATATGAATTCATCATGCATATAAATCAACATGTATTTATATAAGTGATTAGAATATAATTTGAATACAAAAAATGCAAATATAAATAATGGTATAATTGCAATAACTAATAATATTTAACAAGAATTTTATATATAAAAATTGGTAATTCAATGCAAATTGATTTGTATATTAATTTACTATTTGTCATTTTTTGTTTTTTTTTCATAGAATTTTTTATTGGGTTAATTAAATGATAATTACTGATTATCAAAGATGATAATAAAATAATTTTTAAATAACCTGATAATCATATAATTTATTATATGTTTCTTATAAAACTTTTGTTTAATTGGCTAATGCAAGTTAATTATCTACAGTGTATATCAAATGTTTAACTATATATTAATAAGATACAAGATTAGTTATCATTTGTATATTATTTAGATTATTTGTTAACTACTATATTTGCTTTTATTTTGGTTTTTAACATAATTATATTATATAGAATTATATGTTTTGTAAGTATAAAGCAGGCATCAAGCTTATAATTATTTTTTTTATTTATAGTTTTATTTATTGTTTGAAGTTTTATTTTTAATAAAAAATCTTTAGAATTTTATTTAAAAGAATTTTTGAATATTAATACAACAAAGAAATATAAAAAATAAATATAAAATCTAAAGAAAACTCAAATTTTAATAAATGAAAATAAATATTTTATAGAAAAACATTTTATATAAATATATTCTGTTTTTGTACATTTATTAAATTTTTAGAAATATTAATAAACTGATTCAATTTACTTTTTTAATTAAGATCTCTAAAACTTAAAAATAGAATATTATAAAAACTTCTTCTAATTGCATATTGAAATATTATCAAATATTCATTATTAATTGTATTTTAAGTTAGTTTATACACTTTAAGATTATTATTTACTAATCTAAATTTTATGTAATTTTTAAACTTATCAATTTGAAACAAAATTTATAATGTTAATAGTTTATAATTTATTTATATTAGAATATAAATAAAATATTTTAATATATTTTTCTTAAAAAGTTCAATTGTAAACAAATAATGTTTTAAGTACACTATATATGATTTTGTATATAACTATATGAGCTTATTATAAATATATATTGTAAAAAATATAATGACAAATTTTTCTTTACCAATTATTTAAATATAAACTAAATTGTTAAAAGAAAATTTATTCAATTATATTTATATATTTTATAGTTTTAGATTAAAATTTCTTAATGTACTGTTAATATTCTTATTTCTACTTGCTTATCTTTGTATTGATCACTGAAGAATACATATTTTAATACCAAATATAAGATGTGTTATATTGTTTGCATTTTATATATGTACTGTATTTATAAACTCTTTTATAATTAAATTTATTACATATTAACATATACTTATTTGTAACTATATTTTAAATTAGTTTATAAATATTTAAATTTTCTAATCAACTTAATTGATTTATTAATTACTATATTAAATATATAATAGTATATTAATTAAGATATAGATTAAATTAACTATATATCTGATTTAATGTCTAATCTGATATCTAATATAATAAAATAATATAAAATTTTAAATTATTTTATGTTTGTATCAATATTTTAATTTTTACTTTATATAATAATAAACATTTAATTTTTTTTAATATATTTATAATTTATATAATATATTTTATCTAACTATATTGCTAAAAATCTATTACTATTCTTTTAAACAATAAATAAATTATTAAAAAGAATCTATTCAATTAAATTTTTATATTTAGTAGCTTTAACTTGAAATTCTTTATTGCAATTGTTGATATTCTTATTTTTACTTGTTTATTCTTATATTGTCTTCTAAAGATTATATATTTGATATTAAATATAAAATGTATTTTATTATTTGCAATTTGTACATGTTCTATTATCTTTATTTTTTTAAAAATCAAATTTATCAAATACCAATATATATTTATTTGTTGCAATATTTTGAACTAAACTATAAATACTTCTATTATCTAATTAATTCATTAATTTTTTTTTTTTTCTTTGGCAGCCTTGCCAAGATCCTTTATTAAGAGAATTGCATACATAATTATACAAATATTAGCTTAATTTTTTGGTTTGACATCCCCCAGCTACTGTATTAGTGCCCAGAGGCAACCTGCTGCACTAGAGTGAGTTAATGCTCACTACTAGAGGGCTATTCAGGCTAGTCTTTGAGGCCGTTCCAGTAAGGCCTCTTGTTATTATTAATTAAATTTCTAACTGTATTCCTCCATATGTCTTCTATGTTTTC